AAACTGTCATTTGTTCTAACAAAAACTGTCATTATTTAAATTTCAATAATTAACAAATTAAAGTCCACAATATGAACTACTAATTATAGTTTTATATCAATATGTAAAATTACGACCAAAATTTCTACATCCAAAATATTTATAAGATTAAAAGCCTACATGGCTGCCTACATGAGAAACCTATAAAATCTAGGGCATGTTTTTAAACCTAGGGCATACCACTCGTTCTCTTTCTCTTTGATTCATCTCAATGTTTTGCTTCCGAGTCTTGGAGAAAACCCTAACAAGGTTGTGGTGGTCTTGCTGTTTCGCCATAGAGGAAGAAGAGGACGACAAGAGCAGCCCGAAGTTGCCATTCCATGACAAGACAAATATACTCATCACAAGTAATCTGCCTCGTCTCAGAAACATCATTACATGTAATATTGAATCCATCTTTCCTTTTCTCTCTTTTGTATGAATTTTGTGTGTTTGTTTACAACTTCAATTTCTGTTTTAGACAGAATCACGTTAGTAGCTTGGGAATCATCATAATCTGATTTTAAAACTGATCCCTTAATACTATATGGAATTGCAAAATTCATGTGGACGACTAGATAAGCCAGAGGAAATCAAACACCATTGATAAACGGCAGCTAGTGACTCTGTTTACGGTGAGATTGCGGTTTATGCAATGTTTTGTGTGTGTGTTTCTTACGCACAGGCACATGTGTTCTCACCGGTGATGTATGTGCTAGATACTGTCGTCTTCGTGGCTATAACGCGTTATATTTTAGTCGGACTGCTACTGAGTCCAAAGCTCTTGGGGAGAATTGCGTCCCCAAGAACATCTCTGACAGGTAATGTTTCTTCGTTTCCTTGTTGAGGTTTATGCAGTGTTTGTACGTACGATCAATCATGATAAGAATTCTGAATCTTAATTGTATATTCCTTGCGAATTTTGATGTTTTTTTCTTCTCCTCTTTCATTTTTTTTTTCATTTAGGTACCGTGCCATTCATAAACAAGTTTTTGATATAAGACTTTACAAGTTTGGACGAACTTTAACTCCAGAACAGACCCAAGCGTGCCTAGCAATTTTCAACAAGTGCCTCTCAGTTGACACTTAAATGCAAGTGAATGCCTTTTTTTCTTTCTCAAATGTATGTCAAGCCTTATTTAATCGCAGGAGCATCCATACATTATTCTTTCTACAGCACTGCATTACAGTATTTGTAATGTTTCTATGGGGACATTATAAGTGTGTAAATGTCACCAACACTAATTGGTTATGGGGATTAATTGTCCATTATTCTAGGTGTCTGCCACATCATTTGAGTGGAAGGATTTGCAAGCAAAACTGAATACCAAGTTGCTGAGCAAACTAGGCAACTTTGTTAATAGAGTTCTGAGTTTTATAGCAGAGCCTCAAGGTAAATTATTTCTTTCCAAATTTATTCCAGAAAAACTTGCTACTTGCTTAGTGAATATTCTCTGATTTAGTAATTAATACTGATGTGAAGGTTATGATTCTGTAATTCCTGATATTGCTCCTGGTGCTGAATTTCATCTTCCAACCATGTCAATGGCTAAAAAGGTTGGAAAATTGGTCGAGGAGTATGTTGAAGCCATGGAAGAGGTGAGGAAATATTTTATGAAATTTGGTATGATAACAACTTATCTTGTTAATAAATTACTTTTGGTCATTTTGATGCCAGGTTAACCTCGAGCAGGGGATGAACACTGCTGTGCGCATTGCGAGTGAAGGGAACATATACTTGCAGGCAAAGTCTATTCTCTCATTAAACAAACTTTATAGGCTGTTCAATCTAACCGAC